CACATTTGCTTAAACTTGCTTGCTCTGATTTATTCCTAGCTGAAATCGGATCCCTTATTTTTAGTGCTCTAGCTGGGATTGGCATCCTTATTTTCATTGTTGCTACCTATATACAGATCTTCTCTGCTGTCCCTTCTGTTCAAGGGAGGAAAAAGGCATTGTCCACCTGTTTACCTCATGTTATTGTTTTCTCTGTATTTGTAACTATTGTGACTTTTGCTTATCTTAGATCACCACCTCAGAAACTTTCCCATCTGGATTTGGCAATAACTATAACATACTCCATTATTCCACCCATGCTAAATCCATTGATCTATAGCAGTGGTTCTCAACCTTTTTAATGCCGCGACCCCAACCAGTCATAAGTCGAGGACTACCCAACTGGTCATAAGTTGAGGACTACCCCACCAGTCGTAAGTCAAGGACTTTCCCTGCCCGGGAGCGCCGGGCATGTGTGATGCTGCCCCCTGCGCCGGCGAGCCATAGCTGGCAAGCGGTAGAGACGGCCTGGCTGACCACCAAGGGAGGTAAGGCACCTGCCGGGCCCCACGCGCACCAGCAACCCTCCCTGCGCCCGCCGGCCTCCTACCTCCCACCCCTGGCCCTCTTTTACTTACATTTTTAGTAGTTGCTCAGCAGGGAGGGGTGGAAACTTCCAGACAGCTCGCCTTCACTGCAGACAACTTGCAGCACTGTTTGCAGAATGGGACTTTTGGTGGGCTCAGCAGGGCAGAGACAGCCTGGACAATTCCTATTGGTTTTTGAAAGCCAATAGAATTAGACTCTATTCAAGAGAATCTATTGTATTGGCTTTCAAAAGCCAATAGAATAAAAGGGAGTAGCACAGCTAAGGAAAAGGGGAAAAAAATGGCGGACTGCATTGTTTGGCGACCCCGCGAAATGGTCATTCGACCCCAAATGGGTCCCGACCCATAGGTTGAGAACCACTGATCTATAGCCTGAGAAATAAAGAAATTAAAAATGCTCTATCAAAGCTGTTACATTTCTAAGCTTCTTCTACATTCTTATTCATTTATGTGTTGCTATGAATCTTTCATTATGTAGCCTTTACTGTATCTTAGAAAACTGGTGTCAAATGTTAATTTCAGCAATAGCTGCCAGACATATGAAGAAAAACATAAATTCTTATTAATTTACTGGAGTAGGATACGAAATAAACTGGAAGTAAACATTTCTTTTTATGCATATGTGTATATGAATGTATGTATTACATGTATGTTTGTGTGTTTGTTTTATGTGTGTATATATTTATATGGTGTATTTGTGTGTGTGTGCATTTCTATTTCTCTAACTATTTCTAAGTCATCCAGGTCATGGCTGTGAACTGAAGAAGCTTCTTGGAAGTGAAAAGTCTTCAAGCAAAACAGCTGCCTTTTGAAAAAGCACATTTGTGTGTCTCTCTCTCTTCATATTTTTCCCTAATAGAATGAAAACTTTTCAGAGAGGAAATATCTCAATGCCCCAATTTCTTCTCAATGACTAAATTATTTGACCCCTTACTAGTGTTAAAATATTGCTTATATCACATGAACTATTCCCATATTATAACCTCATTAACTTCTACAGTTTATTGCATCAATAATCTAAAAATATTGTAGGAGCTTTCTTCTCCCACTACCCAGGAAGAAAGATGAAAAACCCAAATCTAAATCACAATTTTTTTTAATGCCTAATTTCCTAAATTCTTCTTGGTAATAAAGAAAATCAGAACAGGGCACATGCTATTCTGCCATTTAAAAAGAAACAATCTTTGGATTAAAAGCCATATTTTTTTAGTTGTTTGAACTATTTGATGAAAATAATTCAACTCTAATGCTAATTCTAACCCTAATCCTAACCCTAAATCATTTATTATCCTATCTTAACTTTTAACTTGTATCTCTCTATAGAAAACCAAAGTGGTAGAATAATGTATGCCTAACCTGTAACAGAGTATTTAACTATGATTGGAGGCAGTGAAGAGAATAACCAAAGTTCATTTCATGGATGGTTCTTGATTAAAATCAAGGAATGAATGGGGGTTGGTTGAGACAATAAAGAGATCTATTTTTTTCACAAAGGGATTAAGATTTTCGATATATACTATATGAGTATCAACAATATTTTTTGTAGCTCACTGAACTGATGTAATGACAAAATCAATATCTGAAACTTGTTTATTCTTAATTTCTCAAATATAATTCTATGCATAGCAGTGGCGGGATTCAGCCGGTTAGCACCAGTTTGGCAGAACCGATACCTAATTTTTTTGTTGAGTTCAGCGAACCTGTTATGATAAATCTGTGTTTTCTGGAACACATCTGGGTTTTGTTCAACTTCCTTCCAGGCAGGGGAAAAAAACGCTCTCCAAAAAGTCCAAGAGAGGAGCAAATGGAGATGTGGTGCCTTCGATCATGTCACTTAGGTGAAAACTAGGTGGGGCTTTTCAGAAGTAATTTCAGGAATAGACACTTCATCTCCAATTGGTGCATATGGGAAAGTATTACCTGGGGCTGTGGATCTGGAACTTTTTCCTATCTATCTATACAGATCACAACTAATAATGAGCAGGAAAGCTCTTAAAGCTCTGAGAACCGGTTGTTAAATTATTTGAATCCCATCACTGATGCCTAGTAATGATTTATCACTCCCCCAAAAAGAAAGGAAGCATGTTATTGAATAAACATTAGTTATAATGAAAAAGCAATTAATCAAAATATAAGAAACTAAGATTTTCTGTATGGTTTAGACAAAAAGTTGAATAAAGGTGCTGAAAGTTCAGCTTCGTTCTATTCTTATACTGTTTTTCATTTATTTTAGTAGATAGTGTTATTTTGAATCATTCTGTATCATTGTAAATTATCCCAAGGTATGCATATACTGTATACTGAACAACACATAATATAAACTAAAACCCTGCATAAGTTGAAAATCAGAGGTTCAGTATTACAGTTCATTGATGTCTTTAACTATTTGCCTTGTTCACTCAAAGAAAAGGTAAGAAGAAAAATGGAATATAACACAATCCTATTTTGAAAAAAACCCTTCTTTTTTATAAACATTAGAGAGTGTGAGGCTCCTTATTATATATTTATTTGAACTATTAATGAACAGAGCATTTAATGCCATAAATAACATCTAGATACTACTGATATATAGTAGTGAAATATTTCCACTACAGTTTAAAAGGTAATAATGCAGTAGAATGACAAAATTTTAAACATAGTATGTTAGATACAAATATATGGTACTTTATGTAGTAAAACCTGATGGATTAATATATTTGTTTTAATATTCTCTTTAGGAAAATAGAGATAAAGCATTGCATCTTTGCATAATTGGAAATCAATTTGACCACTGTTTACAACAGTGATAGTATGAGAATATAGAACTTGGAATAATAGAATTGAAAGGGACCTCAGAGGTCTTCTACTCCAACCTTCTGCTCAAGCAGGAGACCCTATACCATTTCTGACAAATGGTTGTCCTTCTCTTTTTGAAAGCCTCCAGTAATGGAGCACCCACAACTTCTGAAGACAAGCTATTCCACTGGTTGATTGCTGTCACTGTTAGGAAATTTCTCCTTAGTTCTAGATTGCTTCGCTCCTTGATTAGTTTCCATCCTTGCTTCCTGTCTTGTATTTTGGTGCTTTGGAAAATAGTTTGTAGAAGTTCTCAAATATTTGAAAAGTTGTATTTTGGTGCTTTGGAAAATAGTTTGTAGGAGTTCTCAAATATTTGAAAAGTTTTATCATGTTACTCCTAGTCCTTCTTTCCACTAGACTAGACATACCCAATTCCTGCAACTATTCTTTATATGTTTTAGCCTCCAGCCCCCTAATAATTTTTGTTGCTCTTTTCTGCACTCTTTGAAGAGTCTCAACATCTTTTTTATATTGTGGTAACCAGAATTGGGTGCAGTATTCCATTACTAGTACTCGTACTAGTATTAGTACTGGTATTAGTAGTGTGGTGGTGGTATTGATGGTGGTAAAAATAGCAGCATTAATTATATTCCATATTCACTTTCTAATATGTAGGATAGTTTATGAAAGATGATAGATGGTTTAAAAAGGAATGGAAGGAAGGAAGGAAGGAAGGAAGGAAGGAAAGAAGAAAACAATTCATACTATGTTTGTAATAAATGAGAAGTGTTTGCTATGGCTGTGTACAATTTACACAGGACAATGATACAGATAATGGTTAGATGAATACTTTAGATAGATTTTACCTTCCCCATTCTTTCAGGAGGATATACCAGTGTAATAGTCTACTCCAAAGTAAACAATTGCCAATAACATCATGATGATGATCATCACCAACAACCTCAACTTCAGAATATCTATAAAAATTATCATATACTATTAATGAAAAATTGTTGCAAACATATAACTGAAAAAATAGTTGAAAATGAGCAGGTTAAAATATTTTGAGATTCCGAATACAAACTGATAGCTGTTATTACACATTTTTGAGCATATAATAATGTAGAACTATTTTTTTAAAAAACAGCGATAAGCAATGTTAATGTTTAACAGTCACAATAATAGTAAGAACAGCATAGTACAGGATGCTCGATAGAGTGATAGTGCAAATCTCACACGATTCATCATATAAGTCTGAACTGAAATTTTCCATGCCCTGACATGCATGTATTTTGGTTGCTTGTGGGAAGATAGGGATTATAAACACCAGCCTGAAGATGACGAATGGGACTTCGTCGAAACGTCGCCAAGACACTTCCAATTTTACGCGGGAGAAAACCTGAACAACCAAAGACCTACATACAACATCCGCGAAAACCTCAGAAAACATATATATATATATATATATATATATATATATATATATATATATATATATATATATATATATATATAAAGCTGCATTGCGTCTACAGCAGGATTACTTCATATATTCGTTATATGACTATAGGTAATGTAATTTCAGGGAGAGAATAAAAGGTCTGCTATAGGTAAAACATTACATTCTCTCCTCTCTCTCCCAAGTTTATAAGACAAAAGAGTATCTTTCAGCAATTTTCTGTTTAATTTTCTGTTTAATTCTAATCTGTTAAATACATTGCATACAAACAAGAAGTTTTATCATAAAAAAAACCAGAATGCATATATGTAAGCAAAGACATAATCATTATAGCTAATGGAAAATATTAACATTTTAGACTAAAAACCTAATTAAGAAGGAAGTACGAAAACCTGTGGGTTATTTTTTTTATGGGAAACTGGGGGAGGAACAAAACTTTTTTATTCAATGTTAAAATAAATGAGTGTCCTATCCATTACCTTTAGGTGTCAACAATAGTAATCCATCCACTTTTTCTTACCATTTTGTCTCACAGATATTATAAAGTCTATTTTAAAGTGTCAGCATTTTGGTAGAAGTAATTTTCTTTATTAATAATTCTATATCATTATCACTTAGACCAATGTTTTCAACATGTGGTCCAGGGACCCTGGGGGATCCTCAAAGGCTTGAAGAAATGTTATGATTTAAATCTTAAGTTAAATCTTGATGGTTTATGGCCATAGTCTGTGGCCACAAAAGACATTTAAAGGGGTCTTTGGTGATGAAAGTTTGAGAATCACTGTCTTAGATCAATTGAGATTTAAGTCTATCTGGGACCCCTTTTTCAGGCTTTGAGTCTCTTTGATTTGTAGAAGGTGGTTCCTTCACCTTCAGGTGACTTCATTCTTCTACAAACCATTTGTGATTAGTCAAAAGATCTCATTGTTCTTCCTGGATTTGCAAGATTTGGATTCAATCTTAAACCTGCAATTTTTGGGCCATCTTCTCTGAAACTCAAGCTAGATCACTCCAAGTGATTTCAAATCTTCCAAACCAAATCCCTTTAGCACCTTAAAACTACCCATTCTTTTTCAGAATTACTAGCCAATGTGCTTTTACTGAAAACTAAAAAGAACAGAGTATCTGTTTGGGTGTATGTGATGAATATTACAAAGCAATGTGTAATAGCAGGCTGTCACATTTTTTTGTTGATTCATAACTATCCCATACCTTTTATCTCATTTGCACATTTAAAAAGTAAATTGAAGAGCAAAAGTAAGATGTATATTTTCATACTTTTATCAAAATGTTTATGGTTCTTTGGGCAAAATAAAATAACTTCATACACTGTGGTTTGTTGAATATTAAAATAATATATTTATGTATCATCAGTATCATACAAATTTCTGTATAGTATATTATCTGAGCTGATCCTTTAAGTGATTTTTTTTTAAAGTGAAAAATTATGGTATTTATATATCTGACTACCTACATACAGATATATATAACTTCAGATTGATAACTCTTATCTTTTCCTAAATTATTCATTAGATAGAAATGAATTGAAATTAAAAAGATTAAGAATGTCAAAGAAAAATGAGAATTATCATATGCCAATAATGAATAATTGGTGGGAACATATAATTAAAAAAGGAATCAAAAATGAGCAGGTTAAAATATTGTGGGAGTCTGAATACAAATTGATGGTATATGCTGGATTTAATTGCCATTGAAAAGAAGAAAGCTTGCATAATTGTTGTACCATACCAAGGAATTAAGAAAGCCAGCATAAAATTTATATTTAAAGAAATGCATCTATAAACAAGAACATAATTTGATGTTTTTTTCCATTCATGTCTACTATGTAATATAAATAATAACAAATGGATTCATTTCTCCTTTAGAGAAAAAGTGTATTAAATTTAACAGCACAGTTAGCATTCAGGTATATTACTTTATGTAGTATCACAAGGATTTAATCCTAAATGCTGATCTGAGATAATAATATTATTAACTAGATTAATGTTTATTGAGTGTAAGCTGCCTAAAGTTGTAAACAAATGTTTTTAAACAACCAAAAAACAGGGCTACATAAGTACATAACAGCATTGTAGTTTTCTCAATTTCATAAGGATAAAGCCTTACACACTGATTCAGTTAATTTATCAATTGATATACATAGCATAGATGGATCATTACACTTTTGTACCTAATGGTCAAATGATTTAAAGCATTTATTAAACTACACAAAAATGAGAAATTTGTGGCAGGTTCTTGAAAGAAATATTGAAGATCAGCTTCCTGAATGCCATTTTGAGTTCTTTGTTCCTCATGCTGTAGATCAGTGGATTCATGACTGGTGGCAACACACAGTAAAACATAGAAATCACGATATCTGATGTTGATGGAGAGCTAGATATGGGTCTCAGGTATGCAAAATTACCACTTATCAGAAACAGACAAATGACTATGAGGTGGGGTAAGCAAGTAGAGAAGGCCTTATGCTTTCCTTGGGTAGATCGGATCCTCAACACTGCTCTGAAGATCTGAATATAAGAAAAAGCAATTATAGCAAAATAAAAAAAAGCTAAACTAGAACCAAAAGTTAGAGCCCAGACTACTGCAACATATGAGTCAAAACAAGAGATCTTCAGCAGCTGAGGGATTTCACAAAAGAACTGATTGATGATTCTGGAACAGAAGTTCACTGTAAATAAGTTTCCTGTGTAAAGTATTGAATAGAAAAGGCCACCCATCCATGCACTGGTTGCCATTTGGATGCAAGCTTTTTTGCTCAGTACAGTCTCATAATGCAGTGGGATGCAGATGGCTACATAACGATCATAGGCCATGACTCCAAGAAGAAAGAAGTGGGACAGCATGAAGAAAACAAGGAAGAAAACTTGGCATAGACATCCAGAGTAAGAAATGGCTTCTGTGTTCATCAAGGAATTCAGCATGGACTTGGGAACTGTGACAGAGATGGAGCCAAGATCTTGCAAGGATAGATTGACTAGAAAAAAATACATGGGTGAATGGAGCTGATGGCTATAGACAATAACAGTGATGATGATGAGATTTTCAATGAGGGCTACCATATAAATTATTGAAAAGACAACAATGTGGACTATTTGTAGCTCCTCAGTATCAGGGAATCCATGCAAAAGGAATTCATTGACTCTCGATTTATTTTCCATTCTTCTTTTTAGACTTCAGAATTTGTAACAGGTGATCAAACATAACAGATACATCTCGTGTATCTGTGGCAGTAGTCAAGAGGGAATGAAATGCTGTTCAAAGAAGTTCTTTTAATCTGAGAGCACTAATTTAAAAACACAGGTTTATCTATAGGATATTTTTCATTATTCTCAGGAGGCTGATTTCTCAAAGGTCTAGTTTACATTAGAGCTGTAAGTCCATGTAGTTGTGGGAAAATATGTTTAGAGTTTTAATTCATGTTTCTTTTTGTCTATATAGTCTATTTTCTCCTTTGCATAAAGAGATTTCTTAGTAAGAAATGAACTGAAATAAAATAGAAAAATATAACAAAGAAAACATTAAAAAGATGAGAATTACCAATCTGAAGGTATGTATGTTTGTAGATAGGTAGATAGATATCAGAATGTAAATGTTTACATATATGTAAGCCACTGCAAAAACCACAGCAAAAGACAAACTAGAAAAAAAATTAAAATAAGCAAAAAAAAATTGTAAGAAAACAACTATCTGACCTTGACAAATATAAATCACCGGAACCCGACAGATTGCATCACAGAGTTCTGAAGAAGCTGGCAGATGTTATCTCAGAACCATTGCACCATATCTTTTAAAAATCCTGGAGCACTGGAGAAATGCCTGGAAAAGGGCTAATGTGGTTCCCATTTTCAAGAAAGAAAAAAAAACAGAGTTAGGAAACTACAGACCAATCAGTCTAACATCAATACCTGGGCAGATCCTGGAAAAGTTAATCAAAAAACAGATCTGCAAACAACTAGAAGCAAACAAAGTTATACCTAATAGCCAGCATGGGTTTGTCAAAAACAAATCATGCCAAACCAATCTTATTTTATTCTTTGATAAAGTGACTAAACTAATAGACCAGCGAAATACTGTGGACGTAGTACACTTAGACTTCAGTAAGGCATTGGATAAGGTAGACCACAACCTACTTCTTAGTAAACTAGAAAAAGGTGAAATAGACAACATTACCACCAGATGGATATGTAGCTGGCTGACAAACTGTACTCAATGAGTAGTTCTCAACAGCACTACATCCACATGGAGAAATGTAAGTGGAATCACAAGGTTCTGTCTTAGCCCCAGTATTCTTCAATATCTTCATAAATGATATAGAGTTTTTCCAAAACTGGAATTTAGAATGGAGGAAGTGGAGAATAAGATAGAAGCTACATAGGATGAACGAACTGTTTCACAATATAGAGAAATGGAGTTCGGATTGCGTATCCGGGGATTCAAAGAAAATTCCCAGGAAGATTTGAAGATGCTTATTGTTAGAGATATCGCTTTTAATCTTGGATGGAGACCAGAAGTAGTTGGGAATGAGATAGAAAAAATTTTCAGAGTCAACTCACGGGTTGCCAGATAGAGAAATTTACCAAGAGGTGTGGTTATTTACTTTTCCGGAAGATCTACTCATAATGAAATTATACAGGTTTTTTATAAAAAGAGGTTTCAAATTGCAGCTCAAGATGTGATAATTTTAAAAGAAATACCTCCAAAAATTTTAAGAGGTAGAAAAGATTTTACTTTTCTGTCTGATGAGTTAAAACGTCGTCAAATCCAGTTCAGATGGGAGATTCCAAGAGGAATAGTAGTGAATTATGATGGAATACGTTACAGATTAATTACAGTTTTAAAGGAAAGAGATTTCTATCACTCTATTCTAAAGGCAAGACCGTCTTCACCTCCACAAACAAGGATAATTGAAGAGCCCATTATGACAGGAGCTTCCTTATTGATGGTCATGGAACAAGAGATGTTGCCTGAACAGAATCTTGAGATAAAAGATCAAAGGATGACACGAGCTGCCCATAAACGCAAAGAAAAAGAGCAGCAGCAAAAGAGTGGCGATAAAGTAGAAGGAATGGTTACTGCAGAGCCTGTGGGAGGAGCAAGACCTAAAAGATCTTCGACAGTTGATCTTCAGGCTATGCTTCAAAGGCTTCAGGCCGGTGTAGATGGCCAAGTTCCTGACCTGGAATGTTAATGGCTTAAATTCACCTCAGAAATGGAGAAAGGTCTTCTATTATTTGAAACAACATAATAATGACTTGATATGTTTGCAAGAGACTCATATAACTTCAAAGGACTCAAAATATTTGACAAATTCTTGTTTGGGATCACACTTTATAGCTCCAGCTCCAGGGAAAAAAGGGGGTGTTGTAATTTATGTGAAGAAAAATTTATCGGCCAAATTAATTGAGGTTGATCTAGAAGGAAGATATGTCTTTGTGGAACTACTGTTACAAGGCAAGAAAGTTCTTATTGTTGGATTATATGCCCCTAATCAACAACAGAAGCAATTCTATAAGCTTTTGCATGGGAAGATATCCCAGTTGGATTATAAATCTGTAATTTTGATGGGTGATTGGAATGGATATAACTATAGATAAAAAGAGCTCTTCAAAAAATTTTACTCAAACTAAATTACCCAAAACTTTTTTTGATTTGAAAGAAGAGTTGGAACTTATTGATATTTGGCGAGAAAGGAACACAAGTGATAGAGATTTTACCTTCTATTCGGATAGACACCGGTTATTTTCAAGGATTGACTTCTTTTTGATTACTAGTGATTTTCTTTCTAAGGTGAGAAAGGTAAAAATCTTTCCCAGGACCCTTTCAGACCATAGTCCTGTGTGGATGGAGCTATACATGGAAGATGGGAACAGAAGGCCTTGGAGACTGTTTACCTGGGGAGAGTTTGTACAAAAATGTAAAGAGTATTTAAAGGTGTTTTTTGCTTTAAGTATGAATAAGGGTACATCGATGTCCATGGTCTGGGACGCCAGTAAGGCTTATATGAGGGGAATTTTAATTCATTTAAATAAAGTTTCTAGGGATAAAATGATACAAAGACGTAGAGAAATAGAAGATGAGATTAAAAGAAAAGAAAAAGCGCTTGCTCTTAATCCAACTGATAATAATTTAAAGGTTTCTATAAAGATGCTTAGGGAACAATTTAATATGTTGATGGCAGATCAGGTGGCTACCAATTTGCATTATATGAGACATAATACTTTTTGTAATGCGAATAAGCCTGGGAGGTGGTTAGCTTATCAGTTATGAAAGAAACAGAAGGCTAGGATTATAGAGAAAGTAAAATATAAAGGTACTGAAGTTTTTCAGCAAAATTTGATTAAAAAGAGTTTTTTAGATTTTTTACACAAAACTATACTCAAGTTATAATATAAAGGGAATGGATATAGATAAATATTTACAATCAGTACATTTTCCTAAACTTTCTGAGGAACAGCAAAATGGGATGAATTGTTTAATTACTGTGGAGGAAATTGGTTTAGCTATCAAGCAATTAAATGTGGGAAAGTCTCCAGGAACAGATGGATTGATGTCGACGTATTATAAAAATTTATATGAAGAAATGTTGGAGCCATTAAAGGAGCTTTTTAATAGTATCTTGCTGGGAGCACAAGTTCCTCCTTCTTGGAAAAGAGCGTTTGTCTCATTGATTCCGAAGGAGGATCAAGATCTTACAGAGCCTAAGAATTATAGGCCGATATCATTATTAAATGTAGATTACAAGATTTTTACAAAACTTTTGGCAAATAGATTAATGCAGGTTATGAAGGATTTAATTCACAGTGATCAATCAGGATTTATAACAGGGCGATACATGAAATATAATGTTAGACAAATTATTAACTTAATTGAGTATTTGGATAAGAACAATCAGATTCCTGTGGCTTTTATATTTTTGGATGCTGAAAAAGCCTTTGATCAATTAGATTGGCAATTCTTATTCTCATTGGTAGAGAAAATGAATTTTGGGGATAATTTTTTACATGCACTTAAAGCTATATATCAGCAACAATCAGCTCAAATTGTTGTTAATGGGGGATTGACTGAGACTTTTAATATTGAAAAAGGGACAAGACAAGGATGCCCATTATCTCCATTGTTATTTGTTTTGACATTGGAGATTTGAGAATCAACGGTAATCAAGGGTATAAAGATAAGAAAAAATGAGTATAAATTATGGGCTTTTGCGGATGATTTGGTTTTGATTTTGGAACAACTGATTAGAGCGGTTGATTGTCTATTAGTACTTATAACACAGTATGGAAAAGTTTCTGGTTTTAAAGTCAATAACCATAAAACTAAGATATTATCTAAGAATATGTTAGCCAATGACAAGGAAAGTTTGGTTAAAGCCACAGGTTTTCAGATGGTGAAAAAGGTTAAATATCTGGGAGTATATTTAACTGCCTCAAATGGAAAATTGTATAAAAATAATTATGAATTACTATGGGCAAAAGTGCAAAAGGATTTAAAAGACTGGAAAAAACTGCAATTGTCATTGTTGGGGAGAATTTCAGCTGTAAAAATGAATTTTCTACCAAAGTTTCTTTTCTTGTTTCAGATGATACCTATTTTAAAAAAATATGTAAATTTGGAGGAATGGCAGAAGGGTATCAATAAATTCATTTGGGCTGGGAAAAAACCAAGGGTTAAGTTTAAGATTTTGCAAGATGCCCGAGAAAGAGGAGGACTTAAAGCATCTAACTTGAAATTATACTATGATGCAGCTGCCTTAACTTGGATAAGTGATTGGCTTAATTTAACAAATAAGGATATTCTTGTTCTTGAAGGATGGGATTTAATGTATGGTTGGCATGCATATTTAATTTTTAATAAGAAAGTGGACCGGGCTTTCAAATCACATATTTTGAGGAGTGCCTTACTTCGAGTTTGGAAAAAGTATTATTATAGGTTAAACTATAAAATACCTATCTGGGGGATTCCTAGACATGCAATTGAGGGGATTTCTAAGGAGATGAATTTTGATAAAATTTCGTATAAAGAATTATTAACTTGGTCAGGTTTGGATTGGCATTTAAAATCTCTAGATGTATTAAGGCAAGGAAATATTCTACAGTCATGGTTTCAATATTTACAAATAGAGGACAGGTGGACTGTAGATTAAAAAGGATAACACTAGAAGATGGAAATCTGGTTATTCAGATTAAAGATCAGAGTCAGGCCCATATAAAAAGAATTTACAATGCTTTAATAGAATTAGACTCTGAAACAGAATT